GTACTCTATCTAACTAACTACACTTTAGGATTCGAACAACTGTTCTCCTAAGTGTTTACAACCACTTGTGAAATATTACAAGAAAGTTCTAATCTCCAACTATGAACTAAGCTCTAAAAATATGAAAGTGTTGATCTAATCTAAGAGCTTAGTGAAGCATGAGGCTAAGCAGAGAGTAAAGTTGAGTTTTGCACTTTCTCTTTTGCTAGATAGCTCGAATATGCTTTTGATGAAGGTATTCTTCTACTTAGGATGCTCAAGCTTAGTTTGAAACCTTCGGTTTAGCCTCTATTTATAGGCTTTTTGGCTGATCAATCTTATCCGTTGGTTAGGATAGTTTGATCTCTTCCGTTGAATTTCTGATGAGTACGAGTAGTACTCTTGTCCTGTTGTGCTGGAGCATTAATTTGCAGCTGATCACTTTGTCTTGCATTATTTGTGCGTCCCATGCCTTGGCCCTCAGTACTTGATCCGGTATTTTAAATGCCGGTCAAGGTTTGTCTTCAATTATATACATTCAATGTATATAATTATGTGACGGTTAATTTTTGTGTACTAATAGAATTATACTGGTAGGATTTAAATATCCTTTTAAGGTAAAGGAATTTTTACCTTATTGCATTTTGACTTTCCAGTGTAATTTTATTAGCTCCAAAAATTTTACATTTATTTTGTCACATTTTAATGCTAATATTTGAATTTAATTTAGTCACAATGTACGGGTGCAAAGTATAGTGGCATCATCAAAATCTATCAAAGTTGGGTACTAACAGAGTATTAATTTTTCCATAATCATATCTCTATATTAATGTTGGGGTGTTGGTGAGTGACGATTAGTTAACACTTTAACATTAATTACTATTAGAAACAATGAATAAACTGGCGATTAATTATTGACTGTTTGAGAAGTAAGTAACTTTGGGTTAATAATCCGTGGTCTCATGGTTAGTAATCTAAAGAGGGATTAATTGTGTTACGTTGATTGAACCGAAACCGGTGTTTAATTTGAGGTTATGAATCTCAATTGGTTTATTAAGAAGTTTTGAGATTAAATGTAATGTTCAAGTCAATATATGATGGTATGCTATACTTGACTAATAGTAAAAACTATTACTAGTTGTCCTTAATTAATTGGAGATACTCCACGATTGAGCATTCAAGAGCGAATAGTTAACGAAATAGCCGAGATCAATAAGCATTTCAATACGTGGAAATTAAAGTAGTAAAACTAAGCCTTCATTCGATTGATTTATCATCTTATAATTGATTTGCTCATCTTACTATACGTTTTAAACAATTCTCAAATCATAAAACCAAAATCCCCTTGTTTAGTTTTGTTTCTTACTCCATACAATTTAACATAAAAAGAATACTTTTTCATGTGGTTACAAACTCTACTACGCTATACTGTGGTATTGGTGCTAGTCATGACATTATTTTGAGGTACAACCGATTAAGGTAATTATAGAGCTTGAATGATACCACTTAAATTGGTTGAATCAACTGAATATGATGTAATTGGTGAATTTAGGATGAAATGATTGAATTGATTGGATATGCTAAATTACGGAAAAACTATATTTTTTTGTTTTGAATGAAAATGGCTTGAATTGTCACAACAGAACGTAAGCAAGTTACAAAATGACAATAAGTCTTCGTCTTCTGTCTGCCGTAGAACCAGACTTAAAATTAATCACCTTCGTAGAAGTAATATAATTCGCTGATCCCGCTTTGGGCTTAACTGAGCCAATGACTTACATACCAGACTCCTCATCACCTATCCTAAGTTCTAGAATTTTTTTGCCGGAGAAACACGACAAAGCCAAAACAGAGTAAAGATCCAAATAAAAGCGCAACATGAATAAATATAAATAAGCAAAATAAAATTCTTGAACCCTAGCACCTCGTTCAACTCCTGGCGGCGGTTCAGAAGAAGGCCCAACCATCACTATGATTGTTGACGCACCAAAGCGGTTTTCCACCGGTTCGGCCGCCTTTTCTTCATCATTATCGATCACCAATTTGTCCGGTGCTTCTGACATTCATGTAATTTCCATGTTTATGTTTGTGTTTTTCATTAGTTTTGATTCATTGTTACTTTGGAAATTACACACTTTTGGTGTAATAGTTTAGTTTGCAAAATATTTGTAATTTATTTAGATTAGGTTTATTCTGAGCACAAACAGGTCCATGATCACTCAAGGGACCATTGGTGAACTCCAAAAGTGGAAGGAAGGTGCAAAAATGCAAGACAAAAAGTGAAGATCTCGTTTTTGGTCTGTACCCGGTCGGGTATGACCTATACTCGATCGGGTACGTTGCTGAAAAATCAAATCGGATCACACCCGAAGACAAAGCAACATGCAGTGAAGATTTTGACCACGTTCGGGTGTCATACCCGATCAGGTGACCGTGTAATTGTAGCCACCGCCCATGTAACTGTAGCCACCGCTATGTAACTATAGCGACCACCCGTGTGACTGTAGGCACCACCTGTGTCACTGTCGTCGCCAAACGTGTCACTGTGATCGCCGTAGAATTTCCGGCGACTTTTTCCTGCAACAATCCAACATCTTCACCAGCCACCACTACCCCCAACACCCCAAACTCAGTGACCACCATCCAGCCCAGGATCAACCCCAACCCACCCCCCTAACCTGCGCACTCCCCTGCCTCAGCATCACCCCCTCCCCTCCCTTAACCCGCCACAACCCCCATCCCCAGCATCCTTAGCAGCGGCCAACAACCGGTTAAACCCACCTTTCCAACCCAAACCCCCTCTCCAACCACCGCACCACCACCCGCAACCCTAGCTAGCCAAATTTAGCTTTCCCGCCGCTCCCTTGCCACTGCCTTCGCCGAAGGGAATGCAGATGTCAAAATTGAAGCCGCCGCCACTGCTAAGATGAAGCCCTGGACGAAAACCACACACCATTACCCTTCAACGACCACATGATCCGAGACCTATCCTCCATGGATAAAGACGACGGAATGAGAAGAAACAAAACCCCGCATGAGAGTGAAGGGTGACGACGTAGGAAAGAGGGCGACGACGGTGCTGGATTTGGGCGGTTTGTGGTTTAGCGACGCCGAAGAAAGTTGGGGCAGGTTGTGCGAAGAAGATGAAAGCAGCAGAAATTTGACGCTAAGTTTAAGGATATATAGGGATGAGTTCAAATAAAAAGTTGTCTTCTCATGAAAAGTGAGAACAAATCTTGGCCTTTAATCACTTGCAAATGGATGGATTAGATGAACTTTAATCACAAGACACTTTGTCAAAAAATTGCAAACGTTCATAGTGTAAAGTGGATAGATAATAAACAAAAGTGTACTTATAAGTGTTAAAAAATATTGTTATTGTTTTAAATATGTGCACATTTTATTATGTACTGTAATACACTTTTGTCCTCTACATGTTCACGTTTTGCATTTTGTCGTACACATTTGTAACAATATTTTCATTAAAAGTTCATCATAATTACCAAAATGCCACCTCGCTTCGAACTTAATATTTAATCTATTCCATCGATTTTTTCACATCAATGGCCAAGATTAGTTCTTATTTTTCATTTAGGAACCACACACTTTTTATTTGAACCAAAGTCTATATATATATATATATATATATATATATATATATATATATATATATATATATAGGACTTTTCATGTCCAGCCGGCCTGACGGGAACCGCCGTCTGGCCGAGGGAATTTCGTTCACTTCCCGGTGGAATATTTTTATGAAATGTTTTGAGCATGTTCTTCATGAAGTCTAGTTTATCCATACCAAATTTCAGCTAAAAATTCAATCGGGAAGGCACTCAAATAATGTTTTTAAGGTAACTGGGCAGTTTATATGTATGAACTGCCCAGTTAACTTCAAGAAATTATTTGAGTGCCTTCCCGATTGAATTTTTAGCTGAAATTTGGTATGGATAATCTAGACTTCATGAAGAACATTCTCAAAAAAATTCTTCAAACAATTTCACCGGGAAGTGCCCGAAATGCCCTCGGCCGGTCGGAGCATCCCGTCAGGCCAGCTTGACATGAAGACTACTCTCTCTCTTTATATATATATATATATATATATATATTTATATATATATATATATATATATATATATATATAATGGTGTCACTTAATTTGTCCAGGAAAATGCCGTGGCAAATATAATCGTACAACTTTAACATAAAATTATTGCACTTTGTTGCGGATTTTGTCACGAAATTTTCCATGAAAAAACCCAAAATAATTATTTTTTTAATTTTTGTCACGGATTGGATCCATAACAACTTGCCTAACAAAAATTAATTGTTTCAAACCAAAGTAGGACACATAAATGACTTTAAGTTTTGTAGAGTTTTGATACCTTAAATACTGTTGAAACTAATAAATGATTTTCCTGAACAAAAACATTAGATCATATATTGTATGATCAATTTAAGTGTGCTCTGGTATAGTGTCAATTAAGTCTGGTATAATCTGTTCTAATTTGATCTAATTTCCACATCACATTAATAAGAATGACAAGAGAATGGATTTGTCTTAGAGATATTGGATACAAAAAAAAGTTCAACCTCAATCGAGTGAGTTTCAGTCCTTATTACTTCAGGCTTCCCCCAAGACCCCCTCCCCCAGACCCCCGAAGTAAAAAAAAACTTCATATTAAGTTAAATAAAATTACATTGATACAAACAAATGGAGTAGGGATGGGCAAACGAGGAAAATCCGCATTTGCTATTATTTTGGTGCAGGTTTTCTGTACTCAACACCGGCCAACGAGGAAAATCCGCATCATATCCTGCGTGCTTTGCAAGTACATGATAGATTATTATAATCATCCCGGGATTCCCGGCCGACCAGCTTGTTATTCTGCAGGTTGTCCTTCATCACGTTTAGTCTCACCATCCAACGTACCACCAATCTCAACTAGCTAGCTAGCTTTAAACACAGTTCATTTGATTCAATTCAAGGAAATGGGCAACATTCGATCAGAAGACCAAGTTTAGCTTCCGCAAGTCTTTTTGTTCACAGAATTGCTCATATATTTAAACAAACCGATGAGTCATCCCCCTCTGCATGTATGACACGTGTCCCATGTCATTCAATATAACCGGCCCAAGTTTAGTGCTGTCTGTATATATAAGTCCCAGACGACTCTATCTACTTAGCTTGTTCAAATATATAGTACAATACAGTACGTATCCGAGTCAGCAGACAGCAGTAGTAATACTCCCATTCTATACTTGATCAACCCGGCAATTGAACTAGCTGCTATTCTTATCTTTACAGGAATTGATCGAGATGGCGGATAACGTTCCGTTTAGCTTTCACAGGCGCTTTTGTCCGGAGACTTGTTCAAGAACAATGGTTTGTATTCGTTCCAATGATTTCAGTACCTTTTGTTGAATTTAATTCACAAGAAATTAAAAGTACAAGTGTGTGTGTGTATATGTGTGTGTGCAGTGTTAGTTGAACATGAAATCAAATGGCCTGGATGGATTTTGAATTTCTATGAATTTTGCAAGACCATATTCGTCTCTTTGGAATTTTTCTCCATTTTGCAAGTTCCGTTTGGTGTATGATGTTTACTAAATTGTACCGTATATTTACTAAATGGTAAAATCTCATTCGCCCTTTTAAGTTTTAAGCACCACAATTTGTGTATAATTTTCTTTTATACATTCATTTGATTTCACCAAATCTATATGTGCTTAACTGATAAAGAATATATGCTTTGTTTATATGTGTTTTATTTGTTTTCTGATCTTTTGACATTCAATTCCTCACTAGTTAACCCTTTTTTTTGAAAAGGAAATCCCGATATCATATATGAATTCTGTGCGGAGGGAGTACCAGCAAAAAACTTTGCCAAAAGTTGTATTACTTAGGGACTCAGACATGAATATTTGGAGCGTGGAGATAACACAAACTGAAGTTGGTGTTTACTTCAAAAAGGGTTGGGAAAAGCTTGTGGCTGACTACGGTTTAAAAAGTGGCCATCATTTGATTTTTGAGTACGATGGTAAAGGTCTTTTTGACTTTTTGTTATTTGACGAAGAGTCAAATGTGAAGATCGCTGTTGCCAAAAGGGCGGGAAAAAATAAAAGTGGGAAGGCACCGGAAACTCTTCCGGTGGATTCAGGCAACAACGACAACGCTTCTATAATTCAAACAATCAAGAAAGAAACTGACACGGAGGTTGGGGGTAATGATGGTGGTAAAGGGAAAGATGAAGAGAAGGAGACGGTATCATCGGATATGGTCAAGGTTCCACATTCAAAGAGTAAGTTTACAGAGACACAACACATGCAAACAACTTGTGTTATATTTCTTATTTTTTTACTTGATGAGCCTGTATTTTTTTAGTATTATTTGTGAAATTTTCATTTGATTATATAGGGAGACGACAAAGGAGAGATGGTTGTGCTGGGAAGAAAAAGTCCAAGGTGGAAATTAAGGATGTCCCGGACCATTATGGACTTGATATTTTCAAGTATGGTCATTATACTCAACCAACAAACCCTTATTTTGTGACAAGAATCCATCAAGGAAAGCGCAATAACTTGGTAAATTCCCAACATTTGATATATAAAACGAGTAATAGACTGTCTTGATATTTTCCCTAAATAAAAATAACAATAACATTAAATTAAATGTTTTGCAGTACATACCAATGGATGTGCTACAGGATATCACATTGCCTCCATCTATACTCTTGCGTGACCCGAGAGGAAAAGAATGGAAAACGAAGACAAAGGTGTGGAGTGATGGGCGAACATGGCTGACCGGGGGTTGGATGCATCTATGCCGACGGAATCTCGTGGAAATAAATGATAGGTTAGTTTGTGAGTTTTTGCCCCAGGAGGAGGGAGCGGACGTCGCGGTCTTGCATGTCACCGCCATCATCCGAGAGTCTGCTTGACTTTTGATGCTTTATGTCTTATGTTCTCTATGCCTAGATGACAATTAGCTCTGTGTGTTTGATGGTTCAATTCCCTTTCTTATTTCTATATATTACTATGACATTGCTGCTTAGTTTATAATACTTTAATTTCTTTTGCAATTTTAAAAGATTCTGAAGTTTCATTCTTTCTTGCTAATATTCTTTTGAGATTCTCCTATATACTCTAATGTTATTATGATTTCGTTTTACTCTAATCATTAATCACGTTTTTGTAAACAGTCTTCATCTTAGTCATGAATATGTAATTAATTCTAATAAGATTGACATGGGAATGAATTTGTAACAAATATAATGGATGCAAAAATAAGTTCAAGGGAAATATACTATTAACCCTCTGAGGTTATGTCATAATTATTAATGCAACCTTGCATTTTCAAAAATCAATTAGTTACCCCCCGAGTTTTGATCATTCTCGTTCTTTGCCCTTTCACGTTAATATTTGTTAAATTTAAATTTAATATAATTCTTAAATTCAATGAAAAATGTCTATAAAATTAATTTTTAATGTGAAACACAAATTATTATCATTATTATAAGTCATGGTTTTTGACCGTTATTTTTTTACTTAGCTACTCCATCGTGGAATAAATATTATTGAGAGAAATTAAGAGAAAGTACTCACGAGTAAGATATAAACATATCATGAATTTTTAATATTTTTATTTTAAAAATATATATATCATTTAATCTTATAAAAGTAATAAACTTTTTACAATTAAAAAAACTTTTGAAAAGATAAGATCATAAAAAATTAGTAACAGAGTTAATAAAAAATTTAAATAATTAAAATCTAAGATATTTTAGGTCTTAGATTGATAGCTTTCAATTATTCAGATAATGGAATAATTGGAATAATCATCACACATTTTATCTTTTAAGTCCCTTATTATTACTAAACCTATCTTTTAGGTCATGGAATGATATAAAAAAATCTTGGTATTTCTTCTTTGCTACACATGAAAGAAATGTCATTGTGATTAATTCAACCGAATGAATTACAAATAAGACTTTTATATTCTTAATGAAGAAGTGCCAAGAATTTTGATAATACATTTTACAAACAATTCTTTTTATGTATCCTGTGAATAGGACTCGTGAGTCTTCCCCTTAACTACTCTCATTAATAGTTACTCCATGATCGAGTAGTTAAGTAGGAAAACAAATAATCATCAACAATGACATGTAATTATGATAATAAATTGTATTAGATTTTAAAAATTAATCTTATATATGTACAACTTTAATTGAATTTAAGAGGTACATTAAATTTTATTTAACAAATATTAACGTGAGGGGTATATAGTGAGAATGATAAAAACATTGGGGGTAACTAATTGATTTTTGAAAATGCAAGATTGCATTAATGATTATGATATAACCTCAGGGGGCTAATAATAATTTTCCCTAATTCAAATTAAATAGAATGACATTGATACAAACAAATGGAATAATGGAAAAATCCCCAAATTGATACCACGCACTTCGTATAAAAAGCATGATATTTACATTTTGTGTTTTTCATTTTCCGTTTCCACAATCCTACCTAGGTACCCCCCTCTCCATCCTGTATTTGCTGCAGGTTCCCTGCATTAAACATGACCGGCCAACACGTTTTTTATTCATTTTTTTTCAAATTCAGAAGCGGATTTGGGGGAGTTTGCCCAGGCTCTTGCCTAGGGCCTCACATGTGAAGGGGCCTCAAAAAAATAAAATTTTAGTATTACGTGTACTAAGAGTAAGAGTAATAATTGAATAATTGGAAAACCAAATTAGCCTTCTTGACCTAGAAGATCACGCATCCAGACGCAGCACAATTGAGGAACTTGAGAGGCCACAGATTTGCCATTCACATCACCGCCAACCTGCCTGGCTCTATTTTTCTCATCTTTGAGTTTTTTTTTCCTTCTCTTAATCTCTTATTAATTTTGTGTGATTAGTCTTTAGTCCATAAATAAAATACGCAAATAGAATGGAGAGTGTAGGCTAAAATACTGGGATAAGCTCATAAGATTATTATAAGTGATTGAATTCAACACCTTGGATTTTTTACTTAGAATTTGGTAGGGGTGGGAAAAATCGAACCGAAACCCAGAAACCGACCCTGGACCGACCCGAATTATGATCCCAGTCCGGGTTTTTTCTTTTTAACCGGCCCGAATTAAAAAAAAAAACCGGACCGAACCGAAAATTCCGGGCTCATTAACGGGCCTTAAAATCTATAACCCGGCCCGGACCGAAAAAACCCGAAACAATTAGTTTTAATATAAAATTCATATAGTATATGAATATAAATAAAATATTTCCTAATATATTGATTATAATCACGGTGGATAAAAAAAGATTTAGTAACTTTTAGTGACTACAAATATGTTGAATTTGTTTAGCGTAATGATAACCATGAGAATATATTTATAGCAACTCTAGTAACTTTTTTATTTATAAAATTTATTTCGTAATATTTTTAAGAAACCTATATTATTTATATATATACATCTTACATAAAATATTAAGACAATTATCTTCTTTAAATTTGAATTGTTGGTGATTTCGGAGACTAATATTTGTGTTATTATTTGCGGTTTGTATTTTTGATTAATTTTACTTGAAAATAAGTGTTAAAATATAAAAGAACAATGACATATTTCACGGCCGGGCTTTAACCGGTCCAACCCGAACCCGGACCGAACCCAGGCTACCTAAAACCCGACTCGGACCGAATATAATGGGCTTTGTTCCGGTCCCTAATTTTCATATCCTGAGATCTTCCGGGTAATTTCCGGGTTTAGCAAAAACCCGACCCAGACCGGACCGATCCCACCCCTAGAATTTGGGGTATATTCCAAAATGTTTTTTTTATACAAGTGATTGAAGTGATCGAACATGTAAAGTTAAATACTTAAAACTTATGATTAATAATTATAATTTTAAAATTGTGGGTTAATATTGCTATATTATTGGTATTGTATGGATTGCATGATAGATACATAAGATAATTAATTTTATGGTATTGGTACTAGTAAAGTAGTTATTTTGTTTGATTTGTCAATAAATTTAGAAATTTTAGCTATTATTGTAATAATCCGAGTCATCAAACTATATAACATGTGTTTATATAGTGCCTGCAGCCATCTAACGTATGTACCAGTTTGACGGAGTGGCTTACTCGTTTGTAAATTCTGCTCTTCCTTCAAATTGCACGTATGGTTCCACACATTACACTTTATATACCAGTGTTTTAAATAGTTTTTAATTGTGCAGTTATCCTCAAGAATTCATTTTAATACTTTTCGATTAAAGTTTTAACTTAAATTTGGAATGAGTAAACTAATTTAACCACCATCATTCCCGATGATGCTTAACTTTTGATACTTCATGTCTAGCTTATGTTCAATTCCATTGCTTATTTCTATTATGACATTATATTGTTTCTTAATCTATGATACTTTCTTTTTCTATTTTAAAAGATTTTAAAGTTTTATTCTTTGTTGCCAATATTCGTTTGAGATCCTCGTATTAAATTAATTGCATGACTCGCCCATTTATGGTTACATTTGAGTTTCCATTAATTCTCGTAAAACATCCTCCCAAAGTCTGAATTAAGAATGGACCTGTTATGGATTTGGTTATGTTTCTAGAAAATCCTATTGCACGTAGTATCTAAGTGGGAGATTCCTCGTTTTGGAACTATCTAAGTGGGAAAAGTAGAACCTTAAGACCATTTGGAGTGGTGAGGTATTAGGAGTCCAAAATGCTAAATGTAGAATTTTTGGACTCCTAATTGTGTGTAGTGGTAGTTTAAAAGGGTATTAAAAATGGAAGAGGGGATGGAAGGTATTAAATATAGAGGGTTGGTTAAGAGGGGAGTGGGAAAAAGAAAAAGAAAGAAAAAGAAGAAAAAAAAGAATGCAGGCTGCTTTTGTGGTGCGGATGATGTCATGCTGATGTCATCCCTGCATCATAATATCCCAAAAAATTTAAACTTGTATAACTTTTTTATTTTTTATCCAAATTTTTTAAAAAGTATATCAAAATTCATAAATTTTTATGATCTTTCACATGACACCAATATATAATATATAAAAATGATTTTTTTTTTGAAGTTTTAATTGTTGAAATTTTCTTAAGCCTTAGAAAAATATGAAACACAAATCTTTAATTCATGAAGCCTTCACAAATAATTGAATATTCCATAATCGAACTTTACTTGAATTAAGTTCATATCTTGTTAACCAAAAAAACATTTAAAAAATTATTTAAATTTATTTATTTTTACATCGAAATATGTATTTTTTATTTCATAATTATTCAGCGAAAAAATTAAAAGGAAAACATTATTTATAATAGTTTAATTAATGTTTTTCTAAGTTGATAGGTTAAAATATATGTTGAGTGTATTTTATTGACGGTGCTGGAATGCATGAAAGTGAGAGTCTAAACACGGTTTTCATATGAACGGAGTCCATATTTAACAATTTGGCCTCTCAACCACTCCAAATGGTCTAAGTGGGTAGACAAGTACCTATTTTAGGTCTAACTTTGATCTGAAACAACTCAGAAACGCTCGAGCCTAGTCCTATTTTTGATTTGTTTGGAACTTTGGATTGGTTTTGGAGTTGAACTGGGAAAATGTGTGAATGCTCAATCAGTTCAGATTTTACTTACACAAACCCTTTTCAGTCTTGTTCTTCAACCAAAGCAGGTGGATTCCTACTCCTGGTTTTACGAATTGAGAGGATTTGTGGAGTTGTGGATGTCGATGTCTATATAAGGTTGCACGTAATCTATGCCTAATCTATAAGATGGGCTTAATATAGGGAAATTTCCTAAGATATATATGACTAAAACTCAATGAATTTCCAATTTATCACCTAACTAGTGTTTGGACTTTTGTATGACAAAAAATCCCAACAAAAAAAGAAAATCTCATATATACTTTTGTATGACAAAAAAAGAAAATCTCATATAATGACGAAAATGCCCTTATTACTGCAATTTATATTCTCATTACTGCACAACATTAATGCACGACATTATTGCACATTCAGTAATAATTACTGCACTTGCGCCGAAATTAAATCTCTTCTCATTCACTTTAGGAATATATTTATTGTTTTTTTTTTAATTTTTTTAGATTTAATAATTTTGTTATCTTACGTCTAATTAAGTATATTGCATTACATGTTGGCATTACTGCTCTGCGTTACCGCATAACTGATCATAATCACCGCACTTTCCTCCAATGTTGTAATACTATTTATTGCCTTTGAATCACTGCACAACAAACTTCAGCTCCACTCTCATGTGGTCGTTGAAGGGTATTGCTGCTTGGTTTTCGTCTAGGGCTTCAATTTTGACATCTGCATTCCCTTGGGTGATGGCGGTGGCAGGGGAGCGGCAGCAAAGCTAAATTTCGTTGGCTAGGGTTGCGGGTGTTGGTGCGGTGGTTGGGGAGGGGGTTTGGGTTGGGAAGGTGGGTTTAACATGTTGTTGGACGTATGACGCTGCTAAGGATGCTGGGGATGGGGCTATGGCAGGTTAGGGGAGGGGGCTGGGGCTGATGCTGAGGCAGGTGAGTGTGCTGGTTAGGGGAGGGGGCTGATGGTGAGGCAGGGGAGTGCGCGGGGGCACCACTTGGGCTGGATGATGGTCACTGAGTTTGGGGTGTAGGGGTAGTGGTGGCTGGTGGAGATGTTGGATTGTTGCTGGAAAAAGTCGCTGAAAATTCTCCGGCGATCACAGTGACACGTTTGGCGACGACAATGACACGAGTGGTGGCTACAGCTACACAGGTGTTGGTTACCGTTACACGGACGATGACTACAGTTACACGGGCGGTGGTTACAGTGACACAGGTTGTGGTTACAGTGACATGTGATAGTGACATTAAAATTGAACAGTAACATTAAAATATGACACTAACATGAATATGACCTTCTTAGTCACATTTTTTCCTAATGTTAATGTGGTCACATTTTTTTATGTTGCCTTTATTGTATTGTAGTAATATTTAGGCAAAAACCTCTATTTAAAAACTCCGCATGGATAAAAAATACTACGTACGCCGTATTTTTTTAAATAATTTAGTTCGTAAAAGTAGTGTGTATGAAAATGGTCAGATCATGTACTTTTTGAAAGCAAATAATGCTACGAAAGCTAAGAGAAGTGACATATATTCCTAGGTATGAGTACAATTTCTCAATCTATGACCTATTATGTTTTTTTAATATAATATTAAAATTGGGAATATTTAATTTAAATTCATAATTATTAAATAAATAAATTTTATTATGGACAACTATACCCTTTAGGTTGTATATATAAAACGCTTCTATTCCTTTTCTCCAAACCCTAGCTACAACTACTCGCCTCTCCCACCACCCACCGAGCAGCCGCCCGCAGTCCAACAACCGGCTGCCATCCAGCGGCGGCAGCGTCCACCAAAGTCACTGACCTAGGAAACATTCCAGTTTGTACCACCCGTCAGGAGCTTTGGCTATTACGGATCGGAGTATCTTTTTGAATAATTGGGAGGTATGTTTTGATCAATCATCATGAAAGGTTGTGGGCTTGTGGTGAAAGAATCTGTTAATGCTACACAACGGAAAGAAAAGAAAAACAAGATCGATGCATAAGAGAACATTTGCAGGGAAAGAAGAGAGAGATCAAATTGGGTTTGTGGGTGTTTGTTGGAACATATTGTTTTGTTGATGACAAACAACTAGTGTTACTTTTGATCTATAAGTGATTGGAGGAAAGGAAGTTAAGTCGTGCTTCGTTTTGTTGATGACTAACCACACAGATGGAACGACGGACAGAACCACTCCCAGGTCCACATGGACAAATTATGTTTATATTGATCACTAACCATGTAGGTGGATAAAGTGATAGAACTACGATGTGTTCTAATATGAACAATGGACAGAATTGTCCCAAGTCCTACATAAGATATTCATGCCCATAATGAAATATGTGTCTGCATGGGCATACCTTGCCTTTTATAATATCTCATGTGTGTTAATATCTTTTCATATTTGATTTGATATTTTGATTGAATGCATTAATACGTATAGCTCATGGAAAGTGTTATTACTATCTTTATAATAGTGGATCGATGCTTTTAGATTTGCTAGAGAAAGTAGTTGTCTTACTTTAATATTAAATAAATATTATTACTTTATTGCTAAGCATATGCATTGATTGGACTTAACATTTATGAGCTAATAATGGCTTGCTTTATGAAAGTTGACCATGTGATTCATATAATTGATTAAGTAAATATTTTCTTTCCATAAAGCTATCTTTGATTAAATGGTTGTTGGCATGAACCGTAGCTTTTTTATAAAAGGCTATCTTACTTAAATGGAATAATTTTGGTGGATTGTCTAGGATATGATTTGATTGCATCTCCTACTATACGAATTTATCTACATCCATGATTGAATATTTTAATAAATATTTTTGAATAGAATATTGATTACCTAGTGTGAACCGTTGCTTCTTGCTATAATAGGAAGAGATATTCTTTGCTTTCCATATTACCTTGAGACCGTTGTATGCATTAGATATTCTCTCAATTGACATATTCTTATGTGCTACTAGAATATCTTGTGTCTATCAATATAATTGACATATGCCTTTAGCTCAAACTATGAGACATATTATTCAAGGAAGATAATTCAAAATATCAAGGAAAGTCCAAATATTCAACCAAGGAAAGGAGAGGCTACGGATGCTATATATATTAGACTGAAGACCAGAAGAAAGGGGTGTGCTTAACCAGAGAAATATCAAGAGACAGGCTCGAGAAAAATACGAAGTTCAAGGCATCTGAAACTGCTCACTCGGAGTTCTAGATATAGTTTCTTCTTTCTCTTCTTCACATTGTAATGGGGTTTTGAGGATTGGCTAAGAGTAGCCTCCTTGGGTTGGTTTGTGTTGTGAGAGCTTTGTTGTAAAGCTGAGAGGCTCTCTACCCGCAAGGTAGAGAAGTGTAACTCTTCCTAGAGAGGATAGAGTTGGGGTGACTCAAGGGTAGACTAGGAGAGTTTCCCTTATAATCATTCAAAGGCTTTTAGATGAAGTTGTTAAAATTCCTCCGAGGGAGGTCGAGGTTTTTTAATCCTCTTGAGCCAAGGGATTTTTCCTCGTTAAATTCTTGTGCACTTTACTATTTCGCAATTCCCTATACCCCGCACTAGAACTTGGCGAAAAACTGCCACGGTTCCACACGCACACAATTCACCCCCTCTTGTGTTGCTAACCGTTTTCATCAGTTTTCAAATTGCACTAATCGCGAAAGAGAGCAAGAGAAACAAGGAATACGTACATCACCAGTCGGTGCCTTGAACGCCTAACTAGGGCTGGGAAAAATAACGAAAAATCGGTATACCGCACTTACCGTACCAAAAATACTGAAAAATACCGGAATACTGGTATACCGTCATTTCCGATACGGTATCATACCGTACCGATTTATTTCAGTATGGTAACGATAAATGTTTTCAAATAACGCGGTATACCAGTATAATACCGCACTGAACCTCTACCCAACAATTACTTTTAATTCTAAAATATTGTAAAAATTTATAACAATTTTGAAGCCAAAAGTTAATACTTAGGTTGGTTACAAATACCAAAATATAAAATAAAGGCCTAATTTTTCAAACACACTATAACCTTCTAGGCTTCTACTACGTAACATTCAAACAAACTAACCCTAATGACTAATGAGTAATGTACTAATGTCCCGAAACAAGTCCACTTTGTTCCAAGAGCTTGCGAGTCACATTGTTTGAGCCTCCAAGTAGCTGACGAGTGAAGAGGGATACACTTATGTAACCGAGTGTATCTACATAGATATTCCGGGAGTCAAGGCTTTTGATCTCAATCGCTCCATGGGAGTAGACTTTGACCACCTCAAATGGTCCTTCCCATCGTGATCTCAGTTTACCGGGAAAAGACGAAGGCGTGATCGGAATAGAAGGACTTTATCTCCAACTTGGAAGTCCTTCCTTATTATCATTTTATCATGCCATACCTTCGTCTTTTCCTTGTAGATGGCGGCATTCTCATAGGACTCAAGTTGATGTTCCTCTAGCTCTTGTGTTATATTTCTTATTTTTTTACTTGATGAGCCTGTATTTTTTTAGTTTTATTTGTGAAATTTTCATTTGATTATATAGGGAGACGACAAAGGAGAGATGGTTGTGCTGGGAAGAAAAAGTCCAAGGTGGAAATTAAGGATGTCCCGGACCATTATGGACTTGATATTTTCAAGTATGGTCATTATACTCAACCAACAAACCCTTATTTTGTGACAAGAATCCATCAAGGAAAGCGCAATAACTTGGTAAATTCCCAACATTTGATATATAAAACGAGTAATAGACTGTCTTGATATTTTCCCTAAATAAAAATAACAATAACATTAAATTAAATGTTTTGCAGTACATACCAATGGATGTGCTACAGGATATCACATTGCCTCCATCTATACTCTTGCGTGACCCGAGAGGAAAAGAATGGAAAACGAAGACAAAGGTGTGGAGTGATGGGCGAACATGGCTGACCGGGGGTTGGATGCATCTATGCCGACGGAATCTCGTGGAAATAAATGATAGGTTAGTTTGTGAGTTTTTGCCCCAGGAGGAGGGAGCGGACGTCGCGGTCTTGCATGTCACCGCCATCATCCGAGAGTCTGCTTGACTTTTGATGCTTTATGTCTTATGTTCTCTATGCCTAGATGACAATTAGCTCTGTGTGTTTGATGGTTCAATTCCCTTTCTTATTTCTATATATTACTATGACATTGCTGCTTAGTTTATAATACTTTAATTTCTTTTGCAATTTTAAAAGATTCTGAAGTTTCATTCTTTCTTGCTAATATTCTTTTGAGATTCTCCTATATACTCTAATGTTATTATGATTTCGTTTTACTCTAATCATTAATCACGTTTTTGTAAACAGTCTTCATCTTAGTCATGAATATGTAATTAATTCTAATAAGATTGACATGGGAATGAATTTGTAACAAATATAATGGATGCAAAAATAAGTTCAAGGGAAATATACTATTAACCCTCTGAGGTTATGTCATAATTATTAATGCAACCTTGCATTTTCAAAAATCAATTAGTTACCCCCCGAGTTTTGATCATTCTCGTTCTTTGCCCTTTCACGTTAATATTTGTTAAATTTAAATTTAATATAATTCTTAAATTCAATGAAAAATGTCTATAAAATTAATTTTTAATGTGAAACACAAATTATTATCATTATTATAAGTCATGGTTTTTGACCGTTATTTTTTTACTTAGCTACTCCATCGTGGAATAAATATTATTGAGAGAAATTAAGAGAAAGTACTCACGAGTAAGATATAAACATATCATGAATTTTTAATATTTTTATTTTAAAAATATATATATCATTTAATCTTATAAAAGTAATAAACTTTTTACAATTAAAAAAACTTTTGAAAAGATAAGATCATAAAAAATTAGTAACAGAGTTAATAAAAAATTTAAATAATTAAAATCTAAGATATTTTAGGTCTTAGATTGATAGCTTTCAATTATTCAGATAATGGAATAATTGGAATAATCATCACACATTTTATCTTTTAAGTCCCTTATTATTACTAAACCTATCTTTTAGGTCATGGAATGATATAAGAAAATCTTGGTATTTCTTCTTTGCTACACATGAAAGAAATGTCATTGTGATTAATTCAACCGAATGAATTACAAATAAGACTTTTATATTCTTAATGAAGAAGTGCCAAGAATTTTGATAATACATTTTATAAACAATTCTTTTTATGTATCCTGTGAATAGGACTCGTGAGTCTTCCCCTTAACTACTCTCATTAATAGTTACTCCATGATCGAGTAGTTAAGTAGGAAAACAAATAATCATCAACAATGACATGTAATTATGATAATAAATTGTATTAGATTTTAAAAATTAATCTTATATATGTACAACTTTAATTGAATTTAAGAGGTACATTAAATTTTATTTAACAAATATTAACGTGAGGGGTATATAGTGAGAATGATAAAAACATTGGGGGTAACTAATTGATTTTTGAAAATGCAAGATTGCATTAATGATTATGATATAACCTCAGGGGGCTAATAATAATTTTCCCTAATTCAAATTAAATAGAATGACATTGATACAAACAAATGGAATAATGGAAAAATCCCCAAATTGATACCACGCACTTCGTATAAAAAGCATGATATTTACATTTTGTGTTTTTCATTTTCCGTTTCCACAATCCTACCTAGGTACCCCCCTCTCCATCCTGTATTTGCTGCAGGTTCCCTGCATTAAACATGACCGGCCAACACGTTTTTTATTCATTTTTTTTCAAATTCAGAAGCGGATTTGGGGGAGTTTGCCCAGGCTCTTGCCTAGGGCCTCACATGTGAAGGGGCCTCAAAAAAATAAAATTTTAGTATTACGTGTACTAAGAGTAAGAGTAATAATTGAATAATTGGAAAACCAAATTAGCCTTCTTGACCTAGAAGATCACGCATCCAGACGCAGCACAATTGAGGAACTTGAGAGGCCACAGATTTGCCATTCACATCACCGCCAACCTGCCTGGCTCTATTTTTCTCATCTTTGAGTTTTTTTTTCCTTCTCTTAATCTCTTATTAATTTTGTGTGATTAGTCTTTAGTCCATAAATAAAATACGCAAATAGAATGGAGAGTGTAGGCTAAAATACTGGGATAAGCTCATAAGATTATTATAAGTGATTGAATTCAACACCTTGGATTTTTTACTTAGAATTTGGTAGGGGTGGGAAAAATCGAACCGAAACCCAGAAACCGACCCTGGACCGACCCGAATTATGATCCCAGTCCGGGTTTTTTCTTTTTAACCGGCCCGAATTAAAAAAAAAAAACCGGACCGAACCGAAAATTCCGGGCTCATTAACGGGCCTTAAAATCTATAACCCGGCCCGGACCGAAAAAACCCGAAACAATTAGTTTTAATATAAAATTCATATAGTATATGAATATAAATAAAATATTTCCTAATATATTGATTATAATCACGGTGGATAAAAAAAGATTTAGTAACTTTTAGTGACTACAAATATGTTGAATTTGTTTAGCGTAATGATAACCATGAGAATATATTTATAGCAACTCTAGTAACTTTTTTATTTATAAAATTTATTTCGTAATATTTTTAAGAAACCTATATTATTTATATATATACATCTTACATAAAATATTAAGACAATTATCTTCTTTAAATTTGAATTGTTGGTGATTTCGGAGACTAATATTTGTGTTATTATTTGCGGTTTGTATTTTTGATTAATTTTACTTGAAAATAAGTGTTAAAATATAAAAGAACAATGACATATTTCACGGCCGGGCTTTAACCGGTCCAACCCGAACCCGGACCGAACCCAGGCTACCTAAAACCCGACTCGGACCGAATATAATGGGCTTTGTTCCGGTCCCTAATTTTCATATCCTGAGATCTTCCGGGTAATTTCCGGGTTTAGCAAAAACCCGACCCAGACCGGACCGATCCCACCCCTAGAATTTGGGGTATATTCCAAAATGTTTTTTTTATACAAGTGATTGAAGTGATCGAACATGTAAAGTTAAATACTTAAAACTTATGATTAATAATTATAATTTTAAAATTGTGGGTTAATATTGCTATATTATTGGTATTGTATGGATTGCATGATAGATACATAAGATAATTAATTTTATGGTATTGGTACTAGTAAAGTAGTTATTTTGTTTGATTTGTCAATAAATTTAGAAATTTTAGCTATTATTGTAATAATCCGAGTCATCAAACTATATAACATGTGTTTATATAGTGCCTGCAGCCATCTAACGTATGTACCAGTTTGACGGAGTGGCTTACTCGTTTGTAAATTCTGCTCTTCCTTCAAATTGCACGTATGGTTCCACACATTACACTTTATATACCAGTGTTTTAAATAGTTTTTAATTGTGCAGTTATCCTCAAGAATTCATTTTAATACTTTTCGATTAAAGTTTTAACTTAAATTTGGAATGAGTAAACTAATTTAACCACCATCATTCCCGATGATGCTTAACTTTTGATACTTCATGTCTAGCTTATGTTCAATTCCATTGCTTATTTCTATTATGACATTATATTGTTTCTTAATCTATGATACTTTCTTTTTCTATTTTAAAAGATTTTAAAGTTTTATTCTTTGTTGCCAATATTCGTTTGAGATCCTCGTATTAAATTAATTGCATGACTCGCCCATTTATGGTTACATTTGAGTTTCCATTAATTCTCGTAAAACATCCTCCCAAAGTCTGAATTAAGAATGGACCTGTTATGGATTTGGTTATGTTTCTAGAAAATCCTATTGCACGTAGAGCCCGTTTGGTAGCACCAAAATCGGCTGTTTTGGCTGATTCTGCTGAAATTTATGATATTCTGGCTGGAGTGGCTGTTTTGGCTGATTCTGCTGATTTAAGAAAAAAATATTTTAAAAATATATTTTATTAATAAATTAAAGAAAAAATTATATGTAAAAATAGCTATCATCCTTTGTGGATGAATATTGAGACCTGAGCTGGAAGGAAACCCTCCTAACAGTGGTATCAGAGACACGGAGGGACTGCCGCCGCCTCGCCGCCGCCTCGCCGCCGCCTCGCCGTCGCACGCCGTCGCCGGAGGTCCAGGGAGTGCTGCCAAGTCGGTCCAGAGGGTTCCAGCAGTCCAAGGTGTTGTCCAGAAGCTGTCCAGACCTGCTGCCGCTGCTTGGGAGACTCTGCCGCCAGTCTGCCGCCGGTTCAGTCCGCTGCCGCCAGTCCAGTCCATTGCCGTCGTGCTCTACAGCAGCCCACGCTGCCTACGGTAAGTCGGGTAACCCAACCTCGCGCCCCGCTCAGGTAAATTGGCTTAAACATCCTTGGTGTACCGGAGTGCCACCGGATTTAATTTTTTCCCCCGCTCCCCCGCTGCTGACCTGCGTGGTCTTGGATGCCGGCTGTGCCCGGCCCCTGGTACGTTTACTAATCCTTTTGTGTGATTTTTATTCGTAGTTCATTTGTTTTAATTTCAAGTTGAATTGCTATTTACTTGTTAGTTGAATTGTGATTACTTGTTGAATCGTGAATTAATTTTCCGGTGAAGAATATTTTGTTTGGATACCCGTTGTCCAAAGTTGTGAATATTTCTTCCGGTTTAAATTTAATCACGTGTTGGATTTTTTATTTTGATTTTTTCTGTTAATTGATTCGTGGATAAACTCTCCGGTTAAGAATATTTGTTTGGATACTTGTTGTCCGAAGTTGGGAATATTTCTGTCCGGATTAGTTTTAAATCCAGTTTCTTTGCTTATTGATTTAATTTTAGCCTATTTGTGCTTGTACGAAAGAACAAGGAGATTGTACCCGAACTTCGTGTTCATCGGTCTTCTCGGCTTGTTCGTGCTAGTTGCTTCGTACAATTGATAGCCCTATAGGTTATAATTAATCATTTATCTGTCTGTTGAGTAAATAAAAATTTTATCTTGCTTATACGAAAGAACAAGGAGATTGTACCCGAGCCTTGCGTTCATTGGTCTTCTCGGCTTGTTCGTGCTAGTTGCTTCGTACGGTACGAAAGAACAAGGAGATTGTACCCGAGCTTTGTGTTCATTGGTCGTCTCGGCTTGTTCGTGCTAGTTGCTTCGTACTGTTATTTGCTTGATAATTTTTTATTTACTCTCTTGCGTGTTGTGCTTGCTTTCCGGTTAATATGGCTGTCAATCAATATGGCATGCTTCCATTTAACGGAAAGA